ATCAACATGAACACAGAAACAGGAGGAAAGATCAAAGGTACAAACTTAGAAACTCAGAAGAGCACTCAAGAAAGAGAGAAATCCCAGTGAACGAGTAGTTAACAAGTGAAACAATTAACAAGAGGAGGTAGTTGAGACTAATTTCACACACACACACACACAATTTCAAGACAAGTATTATAATTATCAGCAAGGTGATTGGAAACCCCTGAAGGAGATGGCCGGCAAATACATTTATCGCCGGGGCCAGGAGCTAAATCTCAGCCTGCGAACAGGTCCAGGTGGACATCTACACACACACACACACACACACACACACACACACACACACACACACCACACACACACACACACACACAGCCTTTACCATTAAAGTGAAATTTTTAATGATAAATAAAAAGCTTCGGTTAAATAAAAAAAAATAAAAGCTTCGGTTATAGATTGTATTTTGTCTCTTCAGCAATATATTATCCACCACAATATACAGGTGGTCCATCACTCTCCCCTACAGTATACGGGAGGCCCTGCAGTCACCCCCATATAATACAGATTCATCATTCCTCCCACACAGTACCCAGGAGCCCGTTAATTCATTCACTCCGTTAATAACAGGGGGTTCACACCCCCTCCTCTACCGTTGTCAAGTAGTCTCCATGTGGTGTTCTCACCAGGATGAGTGTGTTCATCCCCTTCCCTCCCACTATTACTGCTCGGGTTAACCCCCACCCCACCCCCTCTCTTGGCATCCTCATCACTACACAGGGAATCATCTTCCCCAACCTTCACCACCCCCCACCTCTTATGTCTCCCATTAGAGCTGATTTGATCGCCCGCTCTCTTATTAGTGCACTGTTAATCTCCCCTTCTCATCCTTACCTCTTTCCCATTAATACACAGTTAATTTCCCATCCCCATTACTGCACAATTAATCTCTTATCCTCATTAGTGCACAGTTATACTCTCCTCTCCCATCATCTTCCCTGTTTCGAGTCCTATTTAGCCGTGGATATATTTAGATACATATTTATACTCTGTTACGTTAATTTCATTCTAGAGAACCTAAGCCGAGTTTCGCCAATCTCTCCTCATAAGGAAGGTTCCAAATTCCTGGCAATAATTTTTGTCACCCTTCTCCGTACGCGATTAAGTGACTATATGACGATTCTATAGTTCGGAGATTATACCTGAGGTGCATGGATCTAAATGGGGGCTAAAATGAGGAATAGAAAACGGAAGAGTAATGAACACCTCTCCCATAAATGGGAAAATAAAGGAATTGATGAAATCGTAAATTTCTTTATTTTCAGTCGTGGGCTGGGTGTGTAATTGTGAGCACGTATGTGCGACTATATATCTATCTATCTATCTCTCTCTCTCTCTCTCTCTCTCTCTCTCTCTCTCTCTCTCTCTCTCTCTCTCTCTCTCTCATCTCTCTCTCTCTCTCTCTCTCTCTCTCTCTCCTGAGGAATGATATTTGATGTCTTCTTGCTAACGCTTCTGGAAATAAATGTGGTAGAAATGTATCCCAGTTAATCTCCCTTTACCAAGATACTCCTCCCCGGCCTGGTCGCGGAGACTGGGCCGCGAGACTGTTGATCCCTGGAACCAACACAAGGTAACCCACAAAGTAAGGTGTGGGTTCCCTCCTCCCCCCCCCTGCACAGTTTTTGTTTCTTCATTAAATAATATATAATATAAAGCACAGTTGATCTATCCTTGACCCCAGCTCCTATCCAGCTGGTGTGGTTGGGCCTTCCACTGTCCTTTCCTCCCAACCCATCCCCCCATCCATCCCCCTAACCCTCCCCTCCCAACAATTACACAGGTGTACAACTCCCCCTTCCCCACCTTCCCTGGCACACAACACCCCTCCCCCATCACCACCCATGCACGCCCCGCCATCACTCCCCTCCATCCCCCACTCTTTCACCCCCCCGCCCGCCCCTCCACCCACGCATATCAACCCCTCCGCCCACCTCCGCGCCGCCCATGACTAGGATGCTGGCTGGTCTGGGCGGAAGAGGAAGCCTCCAATTTACAGAGATTTCTCCGTCCCAGGTTCTGGTGGTGGACTTGGGAGCCCCGCCCGGCCCGCCTTTGTCGCGCGCATCCGCCCAAGACTCTCCACGGGCGTGGGTGGTCGTGTGCGAGGGTGGGGGCGTGGGCGGTCGTGAGCGAGGGTGGGGGCGTGGGCGGTCGTGAGAGAGGGTGGGGGCGTGGGCGGTCGTGAGCGAGGGTGGGGGCGTGGGCGGTTGTGTGCGAGGGTGGGGGCGTGGGAGGTTGTGTGCGAGGGTGGGGGCGTGGGTGGTTGTGTGTGCGAGGGTGGGGGCGTGGGTGGTCGTGTGCGAGGGTGGGGGCGTGGGTGGTCGTGTGCGAGGGTGGGGGCGTGGGCGGTTGTGTGCGAGGGTGGGGGCGTGGGTGGTCGTGTGCGAGGGTGGGGGCGTGGGTGGTCGTGTGCGAGGGTGGGGCGTGGGTGGTCGTGTGCGAGGGTGGGGGCGTGGGTGGTCGTGTGCGAGGGTGGGGGCGTGGGTGGTCGTGTGCGAGGGTGGGGGCGTGTGCGAGGGTGGGGGCGTGGGCGGAGGAGAGGGCGTGTGCGAGGGTGGGGGCGTGGGCGAGGGTGGGGGCGTGGGCGAGGGTGGGGGCGAGGGTGGGGGTGTGGGCGGGGGTGAGGGCGTGTGCGGGGGAGAGGGCGTGGGCGTGTGCGGGGGAGAGGGCGTGTGCGGGGGAGAGGGCGTGTGCGGGGGAGAGGGCGTGTGCGGGGGAGAGGGCGTGTGCGGGGGAGAGGGCGTGTGCGGGGAAGAGGGCGTGGGCGTGTGCGGGGGTGAGGACGTGGGCGTGTGCGAGGGAGAGGGCGTGGGCGTGTGCGGGGGAGAGGGCGTGGGCGGGGGAGAGGGCGGGGGCGTGTGCGGGGGTGAGGGCGTGGGTGAGGGCGTGTGCAAGGGTGAGGGCGTGGGCGTGTGCAGGGATGAGGGCGTGGGCGTCTTCACCAACTTTGGCTAATATGTCATTTTACAATATACATTAAGTGTATACTCGACAAAAATATATATATCATACGTATGGATTTTCACTGGAAATAAAAATGAATAACTGGAACATATTTCGAATTTGACAACGACACTAATCTTTTCGTCGTCCCTCTGACCAACATTATTCGATTTTTTCTGCTCCACTTTCCCATCTTCCTTCTCTTTTTCCTCTTTTTCTTTTGAACATCTTCCTCTTCTCTTCTCCTTTCCCCTCATCTCCTAACTCTCTGCCTCCCCCACCTTCCCTTCCTCTTCCTTCGTCTAGACTCGTCTGTAGGGATAGTGATGTTAGACAATGTATATTTAGGTAAATAACGTATATTTACGTCCCCTGGACTCCCTGTGTCAGGAAGCGCTGCATTATTGATTGTATGCACTACTGATTGCATGCACTACTGATTGCATGCACTACTGATTGCATGCACTACTGATTGCATGCACTACTGATTGCATGCACTACTGATTGCATGCACTATTGGTTGTATGCACTATTGATTCTATGCACTATTGATTCTATGCACTATTGATTCTATGCACTATTGATTCTATGCACTATTGATTCTATGCACTATTGATTCTATGCACTATTGATTCTATGCACTATTGATTCTATGCACTATTGATTCTATGCACTAACACTTGTTTCCTCTTAAATACTTTTGTCTGTCTCTAACTGTATATCTGACGGGTTATATTAGTATTTATTACTCGCCCTCATTGTACCTCAGGGTTGAGCTTCGGATCTTTGGTCCCGCCTCTCAACTCTCAATCAACTGTGAGCAGGTTCCAGTGTTCATAGGCCTCAATCATATCTTCATTTCAATCTGTGTATGGAGTCTGCCCTCGTTACATTGCTTCCAAGTACATTCCATTTAAATACTCTGACACTGAACAAATTCGTATGTCTATGTGGTTCATTTGGGTACTCGGTTTGCACCTGTGTCCCCCTTTTACCAGCACTATCCATGCTAAATAGTGTCTTTATCTAACTTACCAATTCATATGAGAATTTTGTATGTGGTAATCATGTCTTGCTTAACTCCTCTGTCTTCTAGCGGCGTGAGGTTTAATTTATGCAGCCTTTCCTCGTAACTCATACCTCGTACTTCTGGGGCTAGTTTGGTGGTATACCTTTGAACCTCATCTGACTTCTTGTGCTTGACTTGATATGGTCTCTAAGCTGGAGCCGTATACTCCAGGATTGGTCTGACATATGTGGCATAAAAGTTTATGAATAATTCTTTACACAAATTTTTAAAGGCGGTTCCGATGTTAACCAGCCTCGCATACGCCGCTGATGATATCCTTTATATGTGCACTTGAAGAGACAGGTTCTGTGTGATATCCTCCTCTCCGTTTGTTTCATGAAGAATTTCGTCGCCCATTTGGTACGGTGTGTCTTGTCACTTGATCCCTCCAACTAGTTTCATTACGTTACATTAGCTCGAGTTAAACTCTAGCTGCTATTTGTTGGAAAATTCTTTCAATTTGTCCTTGTCGTCTTGTAGCCTCCCCTTTTGTATATCGAGACTACATTAGCAGTCTTCCAACTTTTCGCCAGTTCTCCTGTTACCAGTGACTTCTTATACACCATACCTTGAGGTGCTTCCGGGGCTTAGCGTCCCCGCGGCCCGGTCGTCGACCAGGCCTCCTAGATTCGAGAGTCGAGAGAACGACTCTCCACCATGGAGAGTGGCAGGCATCGAGTTTTTTGCTCTCCCATTTCGTATACATTGTGAGGTTCTATCTGGACTAACAGCCTTTGTCACGTTCAATTCCGGGTAAGATTCTTCACCACACTGTTAATCTCACAAGTCCTCCAGTGATGCCTAGTTTAATGCCTCTTAGCTCAGGAACTTCTGTTTGTTCTATTGTGAAGACCTCCTGAAGTCTCTTGATGAGCTCCATGCATACTTTGTGAGTTTTTTTTTGAGCCTGTTTACTCTTATCCTAAGTTTGATTATCTGTTCCTTCACTGATGTTTTCCTCTTGATGTGGCTGTGAAGCAGTTTGCGATGGGTCTTTGCTTACTGTGTCATTTTCATACTGTCTCTCTGCTTCTCTTCTCACACTGTAGTGTTCATTTCCTGGCCCTCAAGTATCTTCCTCTACCCTCTGATCTCCCATTATTTCTATAATTCCTTCATGCTCAAAGTCGTTCTGCTTCTTTACATCCCTGATTAAACCATGGGTTCCTCCTTTGTGTTGACTAGTTTTTCCTTTTGGCCTGGGACAAACTTGCAAACTGCCACTTGAGTGTGATGTAGTTCATCATGTCTTGTACAGCCCTCCTGAAAGTTCTGTTACCCATGACATTTTAGTTAGGAATTGTCTTATCTTCTCGCAATTTTCCCTTTGGTATGCTAGCCACTTGTTTTCTGGTCTCTTCTGTGAATATGTTATCCCTTCATCTACCAGATCTACAACCGTGTGTACCCTGTATTCACTCATTCATACGGGGGGGGGGGGGGGCTTCTAAATTGATTTCCTTTATGTCTGGCTCGTTTAGAATGAACAGGTCTAGCTGGTTCGTTATTGCCTCTCGTTCTTGTTGGTCGCCGAACATGTTAGTTAAAAAAAAGTTTCTAGTTGCCACGTCCGTGTTAATTTAGCAACCCCTTCCCATTGCCCCCCCCCCCCCCCGTGTTTCTGTCCTTCCCCTCACCTCCAATATGGTACTTTCTTCTCCCAGTTTATCTTTCTAAGATTGAATTCTCCTATGCTAAGAAGTCGGAATAGATGACTACAGTCTGTCTGTCCCTCTGTCTCTGTTCATATATTTCTGTCATTTCTGTATATATTTCATTGTGTGTCTCGATCGCATTATTTTTATTTATTTGTTACAAACTGACAGGTAGGTTGGGGCATGAAAATGGTACATAGTAATTGAGTACACACCTGTGGACGATGTACACCTGTTAGAATCAGATATTGTGTGTGTGTGTGTGTGTGTGTGTGTGTGTGTGTGTGTGTGTGTGTGTGTGTGTGTGTGTGTGTGTGTGTGTGTGTGTGTGTGTGTGTGTCACTTGCATTGAACAATCAATATAATCTGTCAGTTCCGGTCGACACACACTCCATGTTTTATTGTGGCCGATTAATGTGACAATATTTTTCAGTTTCCTGTCTGCGTTTACTTTAGGGAAAATGAATAACTTTCTTATAAATAAGAAAACAATAATTTATCTTAGTTTAGTTCGAATTAATAGGAAAAAAATCCCATGCCTAGTGTTAAATAGGATTAACAATGAGATTTACGCAAATGTATTGCATTGAGATACGCATTTGGCCCCTTATTGATTGATGAAGATTAAGCACCCAAGAGGTGGCACGGGCATGAATAGCCCGTAAGTGGCTTCAATGATTGATTGATTGATAAAGATTAAGCCACCCAAGAGGTGGCACGGGCATGAATAGCCCGTAAGTGGTGGCCTTTTTGAGCCATTACCAGTATCAAGAGCTGATACTGGAGATCTGTGGAGGTGCGACTGCACCCTGCGTGACGGGAGATGTCTCCCGGACCAAATGGTGACCAAATGGTCTCGGCTTCAATTGGCCCGTTCTCAATTTATAGCCGGTGAAGATAGAGCAAAGGCCGGAGATGGCGGCCACATGTTCGGCTGTTCGACAACTCTATCCCAGCTCCTGGTATCCTGACCTGACGCTTACACAGCTATGAACACTGACGAGGAAATACATCTGTTTAATCTGTGGAGTGTTGACCATCACTCTCTTTTGTTTCTCCAAACTCTCTCTCTGGTTGTGTTGGTGTTAACATAGGCTGAAATACGTCTTGTGGTGTTGATTCTATTTTGGAGGCGTATACTCGAGTCGCCCCTCCCTCCCCTCCCTCCCTCCCTCCCTCCCTCCCTCCCTCCCTCCCTCCCTCCCTCCCCCCTCCCTCCCTCCCTCCCTCTCTCTCTCTCTCTCTCTCTCTCTCTCTCTCTCCTCTCTCTCTCTCACTCCTCTCTCAGGCTCTCTCTCTCTCTCTCTCTCTCTCTCTGTGTTAAAGATTTATTTTCATCAGTCCCTCTCTGATCTCAATGGTGTACGTCGTTTGGTACCCCCCTTAAATTCTTTCTTTAGTCACACGCGGCATCTCGACGGTTTTTGACTGTTACTGGCTGTTGTAAACAGCCGTTGTGAGAGAGATGTGTATTAGTCGTCATTTTCACACCCCAGGAAGCAAGAAATGACGCCCATCCCACCTCTCCACCCCGTCATATACTCTCCTCCCCACACCCACCCAACGCACGCCCCTCCCTGCTAAATCCTCTCAACCTCATAACCCGTCTCCTCTCCCCCTTCATCCTCACCCCCCTCACCATCCTCAACCCCCCCACCCTCACCCACGAAGTCTATTGTCCAAAATGTTGCAGTACACCTCTCACTAGTCAGCCCGTCCTCTTAAGATTTCATAACGTCAAGAAGCTGTCGCATTAAAGTGTCATTATCCTAACCTACCAGAGAACCCAAAACAGAAAACGAGACAGTACATCAATTTCGTGAGCCGCTACCATTTTCTAGTACGACAATTTTTTGGTCTTAGGTAGAGTATACGTCAAAATACAACGTTCTGTTAGGAGGACGGGTCGCACTAGCAGCTTCGACAAGGGCCCGTATACGTGTAGGGTTTTGCTGTGGGATACGAAGCGTCCCTGGTGAACGCATGACCAGTGTGTATCAACTCTTGCTGCTACTTCAGTTTCCCCTTGAAAACCTCTACTTTGTCTCTAGTAATATTTGTTATATTCGCTTGTAGAAATTTTTTAAGAGCAGTGGACAACCGGTATTAAGTGGATTATGTTCGGGAGTGGAGTATACCCGCTGGTTATAGTCATTATATAGGCTCTTGTGGCGGCCGTGATAACCCTCCCAAACCACAACTGTTCGTGAAAAAGTTAATAAAAGCAAGCAGCTGCGAGTTGGGTTTCTAGTTCATAAACAGAGAGGAGCGACATCCCGGATTCACGACCATTTGGTTATTGTTAATGTGGAAGAGGCTGATAATTATACCGCCGGTTTATTAAAACCCTCGATTAAATCGCCCATGACTTTCCGAACAGCCTTGCAATCAATCCCAATCCTGCCAATCCAATCTTTCCCCAATCCCCCAGACAACTCAACTGGACTCAATACGTGGAAGGCACTCGTACTCGATCTAGTATAGGCGTGAATTATGTTGATTCTGAAGCGTCTCTCTCCATTTACCGACAGACAAACACGCGACCCATTATTCTTGCCGTTTAATTAACCCTGACAGAAAGGGTAATTTTCTCCAGCCGGACCTCTACAATGATAGTTATAAGGATCTATAAAGGAGAACGATAGACTACACTAAAGACACACTCAAGAGCTGATAACACCGGTGATATATTTCCTCTATGAACACACATCAGGTGCTAAGTGTAGTGCATAGACTGTATTTGTATGTGTCTCCCAACCTGTATGTATATGTATGCATTGGTATCACTAACAGTATGTATATGTATCCGACTGTGTTCCTATCTGTGTACACCTGTGTGTTTGTGTATATTGACGTTAGTATCCGCATGTGTATCTCCTAATCCTAATGTTTTTCATGGTCACAATAATCCTGGGCTTGTTGGACTGTCCCGATATAGGAGTGAGAACCCTGGACATGAACTGAGCTTCACAACTAAGCTACAACATTGCCACTGGAGGTTGTAAGAACCCCTGAACGTATCTCCCATGAAAAAAAAGACACAACCGCCTCTTCATATACAACTCCTCCTCTTGAACCGTCTTACCTTATCTCTAAAATACATGGGTTTATCCCCCCCCCCCTATGATAAGTATTCCATACGTCCGTCGTGGATAAATTACTTTGTTTATAAAGCTGAACTTTCTAAACTTGAAGTATATAGTTCCCCCCCCCTCCCACTTCCATTATTTTTGATACGTCATTAATCTGGCCTTAGATCAATACATTATCCCTTAGGTGCCAGTAGCTCATACATCATTAACACCTGGCACCAGCTACACTTGTACCCCCACTTCTGTCTCGCCTCATTCACACACCAGACGCCACCACCAAGAACACACTATGGCTGCCATCTTAAATACCAACTTAACAGCTCTCATTATACGAGCCATTTTCCCCCATACAACAATGTAACACCCAAAGGAGTCAGAAGCACTTGATAATTAACATTCAAAAGGCACAAAGGTGTTGGGGGGGGGGGGAACGGTAATTAACGAGAGGAGGTCATTACAGGGTCAGTGGCGGAAGTGTGAGATTAGCGACACTTGGCAATAACAGTGGGACTGATGTGCCACACTTTAAAAAGGTTCAGATCCTCTGGTAAATATGGTGGGATTTCACTCTAATGGGTTTTGTGGGGTTTAACTGTGTGTTTACTTGGATGGGGAGGTGAAGGGACATGGGGTGGGGGGGGCCGGATGGGCTAGGCATGAATGACCTGGTTATGGTACAATATTAATGGATACACCCACAAGTCACATTCACACACCTGCAAGTCACATTCACACACCTGCAAGTCACATTCACACACCTGCAAGTCACATTCACACACCAGAGTCAGGCATGATGTCCCTTATCTATAGCCGTGTTGTTGTTTACTTACAAACCTAATTCTTTTTGTGTGTGTGCAACTAGTCTTAAACTTATAATCCTTTCAAGTACTTTGCAAGGGCTGCTTGTAAGTTACACTTGTCTGTAGTTAAGTGTTTCTGCTCTATCTCCTTTCTTGTAGATTGGCACCATATTTGCCTCCTTCCAGCAGCTAGGCAAGTCTCCCCTGTGCATGTGACGCATTATAGATCAGTGCTAGAGGTATGCTGAGGGCCTGTGCTGCTTCTTTTATCACCCATGGTGATATTTGATCTGGTCCAGTAGCTTCACTTACATCCAGTGATGCTAGCTGTATTCTTACTTCCTCTGCTGTTACTTCAATATTTAGTAGTTTCTCATCAGGGGGCTGCTTCCTCATCTAGCTCTGGGAGCTGCTTAGGCTCAGTACTAAACACTCCATGGAAGCGGGAATTAAGCTCCTCACAAATTTCGTTATCTTTTTCTGTATACTGGCCTCCCCTTTATCGTAACCTGGTCATTTGGTCATTCACTGTCATTTTCCTTCTTATATGGCTATGTAGGAGTGCGGTTGGCTCTTTGCTTTGGTGGCAATATTTTCATAATTTCCTTTTGACAATCTTATGTTTATATAGTCAGCCCTGTCCCTGTTGCATCTATTCCGGTTAACCTCTGCCCTTTGCCTTCTGTATTTCCTCCACTCCCTCCTCCTTTTTGTTTTTGCTTCCTGGCACTGTCTATTGAACCACGGGTTATTATATGTTCCATATTTTTCCCTTAATGGTGATATGAATCTCTCTTCTGCCTCTTTGCACCTCAGTTGTACTTGGCCCATCATTTCCTGGACTGTCTTCCCTCTAAGTTCCTCCTCCCAGTAAAATAGGTACCTGGGTGTTAGTCAGCTGTCACGGGCGGCTTCCTGGGGGTGGAGGCCTGGTCGAGGACCGGGCCGCGGGGACAGTAAAGCCCCGAAATCATCTCAAGATAACCTCAAGATGACCTCAAGATAACCTCCCATTGCACATATCCCAGACACACTCTTACTTTCATGTAGTCTCCTTCCTATAGTCTACTCTCCCTTCCCGGACTCCTTGTCTTATGGGCACTGTTCTGAGTTCCATCATGTAGTCGATTACCAGGACACAATGGTCACTTGCTCTTAGTGGTATTTCATACTCTTAAGTTCTCAATGTCTTCCTCCTCCTGGGTGAAAATCAAGTCCAGCAAACTTGGTGTATCTCCTCGACTATCTCCTGTGTCCTCCTTTACATGTAACTGAAAACTCACACCCCAGAAGTGACTCGAACCCATACTCCCAGGAGCAACGCAACTGATATGTACAAGACGCCTTAATCCACTTGACCATCACGACCGGACATAATGAGGTGATAGCCGAGGCTATTTGAACCACCCCACCGCCGGCACTCGGATAGTAATCTTGGGCATAGCATTTTACCAAATCACCTCATTCTTTGGGGCACACGTGAGGAACACAAATGCGAACAAGCCTGAATGGTCCCCAGGACAATATGCAACTGAAAACTCACACCCCAGAAGTGACTCGAACCCATACTCCCAGGAGCAACGCAACTGGTATGTACAAGACGCCTTAATCCACTTGACCATCACGACCGGACATAATGAGGTGATAGCCGAGGCTATTTGAACCACCCCACCGCCGGCACTCGGATAGTAATCTTGGGCATAGCATTTTACCAAGTCACCTCATTCTTTGGGGCACACGTGAGGAACACAAATGCGAACAAGCCTGAATGAGGTGATTTGGTAAAATGCTATGCCCAAGATTACTATCCGAATGACACACACAGTTCTGGATATAAAATGCGCTTGTGGTAAACGCAGCTGAATATGATGATGACTATATTTATAATGATTAAATATAATATGAAGAATATGATTCATCATTTGATTATTATAAAAGCAGGTAGTAAGAAGGTGAACAAGGGAGGTAATGTAGGTATAAAGAAAAAATAAGGGAGATAATGGAGAAAGATAAATGCGACATGAAGATTTAAGTAAAAAAAAATGGGGGGGGGGAAAGGGGGGGAAAAAAAATAGAGAAGGTAGAAAATAAAGGGTAAAAACTAAGAGAGGGAGACAGGAGAACAGAAACAGAAGGAAACTGATATTTTATATATTATATTATATTATATATATATTATATATATGTATATATATATAATATATATATATATATATATTATATATATATATATATATATATATATATATGTGTTCGTACCTAGTAGCCAGAACGCACTTCTCAGCCTACCATGCAAGGCCCGATTTGCCTAATAAGCCAAGTTTTCATGAATTAATGTTTTTTTTCGGCTACCTAACCTAACCTATAAAGATAGGGTAGGTTAGGTTGGTAGGGTTGGTTAGGTTCGGTCATATATCTACGTTAATTTTAACTCCAATAAAAAAAATTGACCTCATACATAATGAAATGGGTAGCTTTAATCATTTCATAAGAAAAAAATTAGAGAAAATATATTAATTCAGGAAAACTTGGCTTATTAGGCAAATCGGGCCTTGCATTGTAGGCTGAGAAGTGCGTTCTGGCTACTAGGTACGACATATATATATATATATATATATATATATGTCGTACCTAATAGCCAGCCAACTCACTTCTCAGCCTACTATTCAAGGCCCGATTTGCCTAATAAGCCAAGTTTTCATGAATTAATATATTTACTATCATTTTTTTCTTATGAAATGATAAAGCTACCCTTTTCTCTATGTATGAGGTCAATTTTTTTATTGGAGTTAAAATTAACGTAGATATATGACCGAACCTAACCACCCTACCTAACCTAACCTAACCTATATTTATAGGTAAGGTTAGGGTTAGGTAGCCAAAAAAAGCTAGGTTAGGTTAGGTTAGGTAGGTTAGGTAGACGAAAAAACATTAATTCATGAAAACTTGGCTTATTAGGCAAATCGGGCCTTCAATAGTAGGCTGAGAAGTGCGTTCTGGCTATTAGGTACGACATATAATATATATATATATATATATATATATATATATATATATATATATATATATATATATATATATATATATATATATATATATATATATATATTTTTAAGTTTTGCACCGAGGGGCGAGTTTATTGTGCAGCGCCACTCATCCTGTCAATGGACACCCCGCCATAGCAGCATGTACAACACTCCCCAATAGGAAGAAAACCCGCTGGGTTGTTCATCCTGTCACTTGTACCCAGACACAGCTGGGACTTGCTTAACTGTCTCAAGTGAACAGCTTCTCAAAACAAGAAGATTAACATTTCTCAACCCTTAAAAGCTTACATTATCTTCCGGGTGCAAAATGGGGAAATTTTTTGAGAACAGCATTTATATTTGACAGATAGAATTTTCCTAACTCAAACAATGTGGGGTTTACTATGCCACACATATTTCTAATGACTATTAAATGTTCACATTCTCTCAGGTAGTGATCAAGGCGGTGTCCATCACTCTCACCACAAATTCTGCAACTCCTCTGCTCAGCTCTTGTTTCCATCCTGAATCTCCATGGATATTTGCAACTAAGACGAATTCTTGCTATTACTGATTGTCTCCCACGGCCACCTCCTCTTCGTCCATATTGATTAGTATTGCCAGCTGCAACCTCATTCTACCAACGTACAGATTCACTGGTTTGTGCTTCTATCCTCCTTTCCTCAGTAACTTTGTCACGATGATATTGCCTGATAATACCTCTGATTTGAAGAAGAGTCTTAGGTATGAAGTGTTCAATATGGTCTCTTTCAGCAGCCAGCACATCTACTCGTTCATTTTCACATATTCCAACATGGGAGGAGATTCACATAAATTTGACGACTCTTCCCTGATTGGTCAGTACTCTCACAACTCTCTTGATTTCAGCGACTATCGCAAGATTTTCTGCCCAATTTTTATTAAGGCTTTGTAGTACTGCTTTTGAATCAGTGCAGATCACTGCACCGTTAGTGTTTCTTTCAAGAAATCTTAACGTCATAACAATGGCAGTTAGATCAGCTTGCGTTGAAGAGGCATAGTTATCAATACGTGCTTTTTCTTCCCTTGCGTTTTGAAAGGCATTATTCCTAATTACAGTGTATGCTGCACCAGCCCTGCTATTGGCAGGATTAGATGACCCGTCAGTGTATATTTGATCTCATTCATTCCCAGCTTCTTTTTATATTTCCTCCAGATACCCGTGCCTCATTTCTTGTGGTATCATGTTGAACGTTTTCACTGTCATTTCATTGATGATAATCCTGCATGGTTCATCCTCCCAGGGAGGTAACCTCTCTACAGGCATGACTTCACGGGCTCCCTGTATGACTAACCATCCTCCGAGATGGGGACTTTTATTACCACTGCTGCCTTATTCAATCTTGTGTTGATGATATCCCTCAAAATGCTTCCGGAGTCGGCCAGTGCAGACTGCCTATCACATGCCTCTGTAATGACTAACCATCCTGTGTGATGGGATTTTTTTTTTAGCATCACCTAGTTAGTTTTTTTTGACACACCTGTACTCCTCACTTCATATAGTCTCTAGGGTAGCTGCACTAATGCAGATGTACCTCATGTATTAATAAAAAAAAAAAAAAAGCTCACGGGCTTGCTCAAGCAGGTGAAGTTCTTCCCAGGTAGCAGACTGACCGGTGTTGCCAATTTTTGCTTTTCCTGTTTCCTCCTGTGAGTAGCACAGAACTCATTTTTTTCTTGGCAATATCATTGTAATGGGGATCTTAATTTCAAGCTTAGCCTTCAGTGTTACTAGTATACAGAGTTAAATTACAGTGTTACTAATAAGTACAGTGTTACTAGTAGTGTTGGGGTGGATTTCTAGGACAAGGGACAGTGACGGGAGGGGAAGAGGGGGGGGGGAACGAGAGGGGTAATCCTAGGGGGGGGGGAGGGTCAGGTGGTCAGACCAGCGTAGCAAGGCACCCGACACCACCTGCCACCACCTGATACCACCTGACACTCTGAGTGAACAACCAGCCTGGTCACGCCCTAGGGGACCTCTTCCCCCATCCTCTATTCCCCTTTACCCGCTTCTCCTTCCCCCCCTTCCCTCTCCTCCTACCATATCATCATAATCATCAGTTACCTTCACCATCTCCACCCATCCTCCCCCTCCACTATCACCTACACTATCAACTCGACCCTCCTGCCTGCATCACCACTACTGTACAACCTGCATAATAGTAATATTATTATCCCCTCACTCCAACCCCCCCCCCTCTCCCGCGACCATCAACTTGGTAGAGGTAAAGTTAAAGTTATTGCAAGACACAGCGAGATTAATACCATTATTAAGAGGAGCCTTCCCACAGCCGGTTGTCCAGCAGAGAGAGAACCTCGTTGCCTAAT